CCAGCTGAGCCGCGCGATCATCACAGGCTTTTTTTTTTTACTTTTAAAAGCATTTTTTCGGCGGAAAAGGTTGTAGAAAAAATGCTTTTAAAAGTTAAAAAAAAAGTCTCTGATGAGGTGGGCGGGGTAAGCGAGTGGCAACCGGGCTGGGGACCGGTTCAGGGGTGTGGCCAGCCAATGTTATTACCGGTTCTCTGAATTACTACAAATTTTTACTACCGGTTCTTGTGAACCGGTGCGAACCGGAAGCAACCCACCACTGGTTCAGGGGAACCGGATGTAAATTTTAATCTGGTTCGTCGAACCAGTAGTTGCAAGGACTGGCTGACCCCACCCACCCTGCCCCTCCCCTCCACATGGAGTCTCCACGTGGCCCATTTTGGATGCCAGGTAAGTGCAGGGCCCACATGGAGGCTCTAGAAGGGCGAAAAACGGGCCTATCGGACATACCAGAGCCCAGGGGAGGCCGTTTTTGCCCTCCCAGAGCTTCAAAGAAAGCCTCTGGAGCCTGGGGAGGGCAAAAAGCCCCCCCCCCACCGTGGTGCAGGAAGCTGACTAGGCCACGCCCCCATGGCCACGCCCACCCAGCAACCGGGCAGAGACCCGGTTGCTAAAATTTGCCACTCCCACCCGTGCAGCTGCTCCATTGCCCGTTTCTCCATTGCAGCAGAGCGCTGCACCGCGGAGCTTGTCCCACCCACCACTGCCCAGATGCCCTCGCTTCCCCCCAAGCAATTCTTGCAGCATGAGTGTGTTTCCGGGCTGGGCAAATGTGATGAGAGACAGCCCAGCCTGTGCTGATGGTTTCCAGCCCATGCACTGATGGCTTTGACAAAAGCCACATCTGATAATCCCATAGCCAGCAAGCTTGGAAGCTGCTTTTGGCCAGAGAAAAATGGTCTTCCGCCATTCTTCAGAGCTATCAGTGGCCATCTGAAGGGCTTCCTGGAGATAAGCCTTGGCGGAAGCCAGTTTGACTCCATGCTGTGCATCTCGCCATGGAAGCAGACTGTATTTCTCTGGCCAAGTTTCTTATGAAGCTGGCAGCTTCAGATCCATACAGCATCCGGATGTTTTTCCCAGGGTTACTATTGGTTTCTGTTTTAAAAAATAAGCTGCTCAGATCCAGCACATAGGAAGGAGGGCTGTTTCTGTAACCAGAGTCCACAACTACCAAGCAAGAACCTTTCTAGTACTTTCCTTCTTTCCTTCCTCTTTCTTTCTTTCTCTCTCTCTCTCTCTCTCTCTCTTTTTTTTTTTTGCTTTAATTTATATGCCGCCCTTCTCCGGAGACTCAGGGCGGCTTACAATGCGTTAAGCAATAGCCTTCATACTTTTGTATATTTATACAAAGTCAGCTTATTGCCCCCACAAACCGGGTCCTCATTTCACCTACCTTAGAAAGGATGGAAGGCTGAGTCAACCTTGAGCCTGGTCAGATTCGAACTTGCAGTAATTGCAAGCAGCAGATGTTAAATACAGTGCTTTAGTCCACTGTACTACAGGCTCTACAGGCTTCTTCTTTCTTCCCATCTACTTCCTTCCTCTCCTCCCTCCCTCCAATCTTCCTTCCTCCCCTCTTCCCTTCCTTTCCTCTCTCCTTCCCTCATTTCCTTCCTTCCTGCCTGCCTTCCTCCTTCCCTCCCCTCTCTTCCCTTCTCTTCCTCCCTCCTTTCCTCCTTTCCTTCCTGCCTGTCTCCCTCCCTCCCCTCCCCTCTTCCCTTCCTCCTTCCCTCATTTCCTTCCTTCCTGCCTTCCTCCCTCCCTCCCCTCCCTTCCCTTCCTCCCTCCTTCCCTCATTTCCTTCCTTCCTTCCTGCCTGCCTACCTTCCTCCCTCCCCTCCCCTCTCTTCCCTTTCTCCCTCCTTCCCTCATTTCCTTCCTGCCTGCCTGCCTGCCTTCCTCCCACCCTCTCTCCCTTTCTTCTTACTTCCCATTTACCTCCTCCTCCCTCCTTTCCCCACTTCCCTCCCTCCAATCTTCCTTCCTACCTCCCCTCCTCCTCCCCTCCCCTCTCTTCCCTTCCTTCCTCCCTTCCCTTCTTTCCCCTTCCTTTTCCCCTTCCTTCCCTCCCTCCCTCCCTCCCTTCTTCCCATCTCCTTCCTTCCTGCCTCCCCCTTTCCCCTTCTTTTCCTTTTTTTCCTTTCCTTCCTTTTCCTTTCCGTTCTTTCTTTCTTTCTTTCTCCAAATCCCACACTGCTAGAGCTCTGTCAAATTAGCTCAGCCTGCTCCTTCTCTTTCGCATTAAATGCCGGGCCTAGAAGAGAATGCAAGAGGAATGCAATTGAGGTGCCAAAGGCCTTACTGGCTTTGCATTCCATCCAGCTAATTCAGAAGAGGGCAGCTGGGTTACAGCAATATCCCGCATTCTGCCTCGTTTATTTATTAATCACGTTCGTTTGCCACCCACCTTGCCACCAGGAGATTCTTCCTGACCTGCTCTGTTGTAAATTTTGCCAAGTGCATTTGCAGAAGCAGAAGCTGCTCCCTCTCCCCAGAGTATTTATAGGGTCCCTGAAAATTTGGATGGTCTTCTTGTACTGTATTGCAAAGTGAGCGGATAACGTTATGAATTGTACTTTTGCCTCTTTTTTTTCTTTTTTTCCCCCAGTATTCTAGGCATATTCTTATTTATTAGATTTTTATCCTGCCTTTAGTATTTTATAAGTAATACTCCTTCCTCCTCCTGTTTTCCCCACAACAACCCTGTGAGGTAGGTTAAGAGCCGCGGTGGCGCAGTGGTTAGAGTTCAGTACTGCAGGCTGCTTCTGCTGATCACCGGCTGCCAGCAGTTTGGCAGATCGAATCTCAGCAGGTTCCAGGTTGGCTCAGCCTTCCATCCTTCCAAGGTGGGTAAAATGAGGACTTAGATTGTTGGGGGCAAGAGGCTGACTTTGTAAACCGCTTAGAGAGGGCTGTTAAAGCACTGTGAAGCGGTATATAAGTCTAAGTGCTATTGCTAATTGGGTTGAGAATGAGTGACTGGTCCCCAAATCACCCAGCTGACTTTCATAGCTAAGGTGGGACTAGAACTCACTGTCTCCCAGTGATTGGTCCAAAGTCACCCGGCCAGCTCTCATATCTATGGCAGGACTTAAATTCACTGTCTCCCAGTCATCCGGACAGCTCTCATATCTAAGGCAGGACTAGAATTCACTGTCTCCCAGTGATTGGTCATCCAGCCAGCTCTCACAACTATGGCAGGACTAGAATTCACTGTCTCCCAGTGATTGGTGCAAAGTCATCCGGACAGCTCTCAATTCTAAAGCAGGACTAGAATTCACTGTCTCCCAGTGATTGGTGCAAAGTCATCCGGACAGCTCTCATATCTAAGGCAGGACTAGAATTCACTGTCTCCCAGTGATTGGTCATCCAACCAGCTCTCACAACTATGGCAGGACTAGAATTCACTGTCTCCCAGTGATTGGTGCAAAAGTCATCCAGCCAGCTCTCATATCTAAGGCAGGACTAGAATTCACTGTCTCCTGGTTTTTTATACCAGCACATTCACACTACACCAAATTGGCTCTATCTCTTCTATCCATTATGCACCTCAGTAACCACATTCTTACACTGCGTCTGAAGTTATAACCATAATTTGCTGATTTTTTAATTTCTTTCTTAACCATCATTTGAGCAGGTTATAAGTGAAAGAATCTGTGGAACCTGCTAAATGTTTCCTTTAGCCAGTTCGATGTTGGTAAGGCAAAATTATAATGAATCGGCAAGCTTTTTCTCAGACTCAACACTGAACGGATGGTTAGAATCATAGATTGGGAAGAATCAAATCCAATCCCTTGGTCTGTGCAGGATTTTCATAGTCAGAAAAATTGGCAAAATTGATGAAATTAGTTGGGGAATCTTTGTGATCACAAGATTCAGAGGTGGCCTCAGGTGGAAGTCAAGATGACGGCTACAAGGGTCAGTCCAAGCTCTACCTATTTAAATATGTGATAGATAGAGGATAGACAGACAGACAAATAGATGAGATAGATAGATAGATAGATAGATAGATAGATAGATAGATAATAGATGATAAATGATAGATGATAAATAGATAGACAATAGATAGACAAACAGATGATAGCTAGATAAATAGATAGATAGATAGATAGATAGATAGATACGATAGATATAGATAGACAGACAGACAGATAGATAGATAGATAGTTGAGTTGATAAATGATAGGTGATAGATAGACAGACAGACAATAGCTAGCTAGATAGATAGATAGATAGATAGATAGATAGATAGATAGATAGATAGATATAGAGACAGACAGACAGACATTTACATAGATAGACAGACAGATACTGATAGATAGATAGCCAGACTGACAGATCAATTTATTTATTTATTTATTTATTTATTTATTTATTTATTTATTTATTTATTTATTTATTAAAATTTGTCTATATTATTAAACATGTTGGACATGATGCAACCGTCTTGGCGTTATCTCTGCCATACAAAACTAAAGTGTAACACAAGCCTCCTGTGTATTCAATATTCATTGTTAATTGCCAATTATATACACTTACTTAACCTTTTATAGACGCTTACATTTGCATATATTACATCTCCTTTCAATAGGCACATCCGTTGTTCTTATCTGTTCCGACTTCCATTCCTTAAGTCTAACCATTGGTAAAATCTACTCCAGGTCTCATAGTATTCCGCCTCTCCTTTATTTTTCGGTGCCAACGTCAGTCTATCACACTCTGCGCAGTCAGATATTTTCTTCCGTATTTCTCTTTCTTTAGGTATATCCTGACAGATCAATTTAGAAAGGCAGACAGAACGCCAGCAAGGCAGATCCAAGCGCTACCCACTTTCTGTGGGCAGTGTATTTGTGGAACTTGTATTGTACTCTTGTGGGAGCCATTTTGACATATATATATTTTTAAAAATCACACCCTGTAATCACCCTTAATAAAATTCTTTGATTTATTTCGAGAATCACCAAGAAAAGAGCCTCGGAGCCTCGCTACAAGCATACTTACAGGTACGTCTGCTTGAACAAAAGATTGGAAGGTTTTTCATTAACATGGTAGAGAGGGAATGGGTCAAATCCACCAATGAAATCAACTGAAAGAAAAATAAAAATCCACAACACAAGCAATAACAATGGCACAGTTGAAACACAATGAAAAGGAAGGTGAGGAGGACAGCACGGAAGAGGATGCAAAGACGTCGGCGTAAAACACAAAAGAAAAGGAAACCAAAAGTGCAAAAATAAAAGGAACTCATGAACTCATCTAAGCATGCAAAGGCCCCATTGATTTTCCACGGAATTAAACACATAATTGTCCCACATTTTAATAATTTGGATATGATCGCCCTAGGAAATCCCCCAAATCGTTTGCAAACAAGCAATGCCTGCGTCTATAAAATGAAACCCTAAAGATACAGACTTTAGCCATAGGACGCTACTCAAGTTGTTTAATTAACAGAATCACCGTCGTCATCCTCTTGTAACAACCCCATAATCCCTTGCAGGGTGGAGTCTGGGCAAGTGAGTGTTTACTGGCCGGATGCGCTTCCTGTCACCAATGCGGAGTTATATTCAGCAGAGAAATTCTCAACGTGCCCAGAGAGAGAGAAATATCTGCCTCTACCTAGGATCGAACTCACAGCCTCCTGAGTGTGAGGTGAGAGCTCCACCTCTAAGCCATCGCACCACTCGTTTAATTAACAGAATAACAGCAATTAACAGCATTGGAAGGGACCTTGGAGGCCTTCTAATCCCGTGATGGCGAACCTATGGCATGTGTGCCACAAGTGGCACGCAGAGCCATATCTGTGGGCACGCAAGCATTGCCCTAGCTCAGCTCCAGCACGCATGCGTGTGCCGGCCAGCTGATTTTCAGCCTTCCGGGCCCACCAGGAATCGGGAAATGGGCCGTTTCCGGCCTCCAGAGGGCCTCCGGGTAGGTGGGGAAGGCCATTTTCACCCTCCCCAGGCTCCTAGAAAGCCTCTGGAGCCTGGGGAGGGCGAAAAACGGGCCTACCAGGCCCACCGTGCCATCGTGTGCCAAAAGCGGGGGAAGCATGGGGGAGGGGTCGCATGCGCATGCGCGGGGTGCATTGAATTATAGGTGTGGGCACGCACGTGCGTGACACCCCCCCCCCGGTGCAACCCCCATTTTTGGCACGCGACGGCAAAAAGGTTAGCCATCACTGTTCTAGTCCAACCCCCTTCTCAAGCAGGGAATGGTATACTATCTCAGTCAAATCGTTATTCCGCAACTGTCATAAATACGATCCAGTTGCCAAGTGTCCAAATGTTGATCGTGTGACCCTTCGGGAGACACCTGAGGCATTGCCAGAGAGGAGGGTCCTGGAGAGGGAGGACTGGGCAACTCCTCTCCTTCATGTTCGGAGCCTTCTCCCTCCGATAAGTCGGCCTCGGGGGTCGGAGTCACAACACAGGTCTGGTGATGGCTGATGAGGAAGAGGAGGGTCCAGAGCCTGACGAGTGAATGCACAGAAGGCAGAGGAGAGGAGAGCAGTGGAACTCTATGGGCCAGTCCTTGGGACGGAAGAGCCACCACTGCTAGGGAAGCCCCACCCTAGCTCTGGGGATAAAAGGCAGGGGACGGAGATGAATAAATGTGACAGACAACTATTCATCTTCCCTGCCGGATAGACTTGTTAGCCTGCGGTGAGAGAGAAACTTTTTGCCGGGGCTGCTGGCGCTCCTAATAAAAAAAATCATTGATATAAATACAAGAGGTTTATCATGTTTGGGGAGCTGGCTCAGAACACAATATTTAAATCCTAACATTTCTTCAAGCCTTCGGGGATCCCCGGTGACGACATTAGATTTATATGCCACTTTTTCTGCAGGGGAATTAGACTCCTACCGTTCTATTATAACAGCCCATCCTGTGGAGCTGACATCACCTGACCAGGTGCCTCTCTGTCTCTCCTGCTTTGTATCAAAGGAACAATTTCAAAGAATTGCAGAGAATAAAAGCGCTGCCAATTAGTTCTGGTCAGTGGAAGGCCATGTCCTTCTAGAGTTTGAAATAGCCGTGGTTTTTAAGGTATTAATTATTGGGGGACTTGGCACCTTGCAAGACGAGAGCAGAGGAAACGGCTCGAAATTAACTATGGATTTCTTGATAAATCATCGCCACATCATTGCTTTCCATTTGAGGTTATTGAGAAATACAGTTTATTTTCCCTTCCACTCCAACTCCGCTGCCTTCTTCTCTTTTCAATTCTGCTACCTGCCCCACGTTGTTATCCTTCCAAAATGCCGCCCCGTTTATTAAACGGACAATTGAACAAAAGAGGAGATGAGACAGACAAAGAGACGAGAATGGAAGTAAGAGAAAAGCTGCTTAAATTTTCTTCCTGTCTCTCTCTCTCTCTATTAGTTTGGAGAAGGACAACCCAAAAATGAGTTATGGTGCTGGGTAAATCTCAAATTAGCTGTTCCGACCCAGGTTCCAAACACAACAAACCGGGGGTGAAATCCAGCAGGTTCTAACAGGTTCTGGCGAACCGGTAGCGGAAATTTTGAGTAGTTCGGAGAACCGGCAAATGCCACCTCTGGCTGGCCCCAGAATGGGTTGGGAATGGAGATTTTGCAATATCCTTCCCCTGGAGTGGGGTGGGAATGGAGATTTTGCAATATCCTTCCCCTGCTACGCCCACCCAGCCACGGCCATAGAACCGGTAGGGAAAAATTTTGGATTTCACCCCTGCGACGAACCCTCTGTAGTTAAATAAATGTTCCCTTCATTACGAGCGTCAGCAGCCCCGGCAAAAAGTCTCTCTCTCACAGCAGGCTAACAAGTCTGTCCGGCAGGGAGATGAATAGTTGCCTGCCACACCTATTCATCTCTGTCCCCTTCCTTTTATTCCCATGTCTAGGGTGGAGCTTTGCTAGCAGTGGTGGCTCTTCTGTTCCAAGGACCGGCCCATAGATTTCCACTGCTCTCCTCTCCTCTGCCTTCTGCACATCCGTGTGTCAGGCACTGGACCCAGCTGTTCCTCCTCTTCCTCATCAGCCACCTCCAGATCTGGGGGCTGTTGACTCTCCATCTGAGGGCTGATGGATGGCCCAGACTCCACCTCCATCTCTCTCTCTCTCTTTGACAGCTCCATTCCCTCTTCCCCCTCGGAGCTCTCAGGTTGCCTTGATGCTGATCCTGACTCCCACGCTTCCACCTCCTCCTCTGATTCGGCTGTTGGAGGGATTGGCGGCCAACAGGCCACAACATTGCCCTTAGGGTTCCTTTTGAATGTTCATGAGGCTACAGGTAATCCTCGACTTTACAACCAAAACTGAGACTGAGAAATGTCTGTTTGTTAAGCAAGACAGTGGTCAAGTTAGTTTTGTTCCATTTTACGACCTTCCTTGCCGCAGTCGTTACGTGAATCGCTGCCGTTGTGAAGTCAGTAACACGGTTGTTAAGCGAATCTGGCTTCCCCCTTGATTTTCCTTGTCAGAAGGTCGCAAAAGGGGGATCCCATACGACCCCGAGATACAACCGTCATAAATACGAGCCGTTTGCCAAAACATCTAAATTTTGGTCACGTGACCATCGGGATGCTGCAACGGTCGTAAGAGTGAACAACGGGCACAAGTTGCTTTTTTTTCAGTGCCGTTGTAACTTTGAACGGTCACTAAATGAGTTGTTGTAAGTCGAGGACTACCTGTACCGTATAGTGTTTTTTTTTTCTATTTTAACGTTTCATTGTATTCCACCCAGAAATCCCTCTTTGAGGGAGATGGTTGGTTCAAAAATGTGAAAAATAAATTAAAAAAGAAAAATAAAGTTTTTTTCGGAAAGGCTTGCCTCCCCCACGAATGTCTGAGAAGTTGAGACATCGCCTTTCAAAAACGAACCTCTCTCCGATTGGCCGCTAAATCATTTTAGGCCCATGAAATGCGATGCAATTTGCTTTCAGAGTTATTAGTATTTATCTTGGCTCAGGCCAGGTGAAAGCAATGCAAGCAATTAATTGAAAGCCCTGGAAATCCAGAGGTCAGCTCTGCTGCAATTTGGATCAATAAAAGCCCCGGTCAAGAACACATTTTTTTAGGCCCTTCTGAAAAGTAATTGACACACTATAAAACCCTAATCCCAGTTTTATAATATTCGTTCTCTGATCTGCTGGAAGAAAATATTACCCACAGAGCAATTGAAGCTAATGCATTGTTTAGTGGAGGATTAGTGGTCTAATACCATTATCTCCTGAGCCAGCCAATGTACTTTGAGGCAGCAATTCCAGGGGCTCTGAGAAAGTGTCCCAGGTACAAAATCCCCCCCCCCGCTCCTTCCAAGCTCAGAGAACAATTCCAAACTCAGAGGTAAGAACCAAAACCAAGATTTCAAGTTGGCTGACATGGAATCTACTTCTGCTTAAGTACTGACCTTCCTTCCTTCCTTCCTTCCCTCCCTCCCTCCCTCCCTCCTTCGCTCTCATCTTTCTTCCTCCCTTCCTTCATTTCCTTCCTTCCTCTCTCCCTCCCTGTCTCTTACTCCTTCCTTCCTTCCTTCCTTCCTTCCTTCCTTCCTTCCTTCGCTCTCATCTTCCTTCATTCCTTCCTTCCTCTCTCCCTCCTTGTCTCTTACTCCCTCCCTCCCTCTTTCACTCTCATCTTTCTTCCTCCCTTCCTTCATTTCCTTCCTTCCTCTCTCCCTCGCTCTCATCTTCCTTCCTTCCTCTCTCCCTCCTTGTCTCTTACTCCCTCCCTCCCTTCCTCTCATCTTTCTTCCTCCCTTCCTTCATTTCCTTCCTTCCTCTCTCCCTCCCTATCTCTTACTCCTTCCTTCCTTCCTTCCCTCCCTCGCTCTCATCTTCCTTCCTTCCTTCCTCTCTCCCTCCTTGTCTCTTACTCCCTCCCTCCCTCTTTCGCTCTCATCTTTCTTCCTCCCTTCCTTCATTTCCTTCCTTCCTCTCTCCCCTCCCTGTCTCTTACTCCTTCCTTCCTTCCTTCCTTCCTTTCCTTCCTTCCTTCCTTCCCTCCCTCTCAACTTTCTTCATCTCTCCCTCCCTCTCATCTTCCTTCCTCCCTTCCTTCCTTTCTTTCCTTCCTTCCTCCCTCCCTTCCTCTCTCCCTCCCTCCCCCTCATCTTCCTCCCCTCCCCCTTCCCTTCTTCCCATCTTCCTTTCTTTATTCATTTTTATTATTTTCCTAGTATATTCCAAACATCAGATTGTTCTTTAATGCATGTTCAGATCACTCTACTTGCCTATGAATGTATTCTTCCTCCATATTCTATCTCCTACAGTTTCTCTACCAAGGAAGGAAGGAAGGAAGGAAGGAAGGAAGGAAGGAAGGAAGAAGGAAGGAAGGAAGGAAGGAAGGAAGGAAGGAAGGAAGGAAGGAAGGAAGGAAGGAAGGAAGGAAGGAGCAAAAGGCTGCATTTTGGTACTTTAAATCCAACCTTGACTGTTAAAGGTTCATATTAAAAACAGTGTTCGGTGATCATTTGCAGATCACTCTGCATAAAATCAGGGAATTCTTTGAAGAGTTTTTGTGAAAAAGAGGGAAGAAAAAGCTTGAACTTCACCCCGATTTCTTCCTTTCACCCTCTTTCATTTTTTCACTTTGGTTACCAGATTACGGTATATAATAAAGTGTACTGAAGACTTAAACGATGACCCACAAGATGACACCTAAAAGCCATTCTGCTAAACAAGCACATTTTCTGCAAATAATTTTCCCCCGTACGATGTATTTTGCAGATTATCCCACCAGTGGGTGCCTTTCTGTAAACATTTTAACTAGAGAACAACTTGTCCCAAAAGGTGCTTTTTTTCAAAAGGCAACCGGGCTTTTGTTTTTCCTTGAAGACGTTTCGCTTCTCCTCCAAGAAGCTTCTTCGGTTCTGACTGAATGGTGGAGGAAGGAAGGATTTCTACTCCTTGCAGTCCTCTGATCATTAGACCAATTGCCTTTTGGAAAAAGCACCTTTTGGGATCACCGTAACCTGGATGACTGGAATATCTCCGTAGACATGGAGAAGAACTGGATTCTAAAAACATCGTTTCAGTTCATTTTTTTTTTAAAAAAAATATCTGGACACGTAACATTGCCTTCAAATATCCATTGAACTAATTTGTTCCCCATTGGTAACAATATCTGTTCTCGTGTACCGACATCTTCAGCTACAGTTCACTAAACATTAAAAAGAAAGCCATTTAATCAATAGACACTGACTGCAGTCCGTGCCGGCAGATACTCACAACTGTCTTCTTCTTCTGTAAAGACACTGACAACGTAACAAGCGTACACGAATCCCACCAGCTGGAAAAGAAACAGAAACAGAAATGATTAATCCCTCTTGCAAACCACCATCACGTCTGATTTTTTAAAAAACACAAACCAGACGACTTAGTTTCTCTTTTAAGACGGCTTGTTGTTGAGCTGTTTCTTCTAAGATTGTTCGTTATTGAACTGTTTCTTCTTCTTTGAGTACATGTTTGTTGTTGCTCAGTCGGTAAGTTGTGTCCGGCTCGTCGTGACCCCATGGACCACAGCACGCCACACCATGCTTCCTCCATTGTCTCTCATTGTGTTGATGCAGGGGTGAAATCCAGCATGTTTTGACAGGTTCTGGTGAACCTGTAGCAGAAATTTTGAGTAGTTCGGAGAACTAGTAGTGGAAATTTTGAGTAGTTCGGAGAACGAGTAGCAGAAATTTTGAGTAGTTTGGAGAACTAGTAGCCGAACTTCTGGGATCTAGCAAGCACACGCACACAACGATCAGCTGGCCGGCATGCATGAGCAGTCCAGTTTTTGGCACTGCTGCATGTGTGAAGGGATCACGTTCCAGAAAAGGCGAACTTCTGGGATCTAGGAGGCACGCGCACCCGACAATCAGCTGGCTGGCATGCATGCACAGTCCAGTTTTCAGCACTGCCGCACGCGTGAAGGGATCCCACTTTGGAAAAGCCGAACTTCAGTGTTCTAATGCGCATGCGCACCCGAAAATCAGCTGGCTGGTGCGCATGCGCCCACCAGTTATTAGCATTGCCCCACATATGAAGGACGGCTGATCGTCGCGCGTGCATGTATGCCAGAAACCCGGAAGACAAACAGGCAAGGCTGCACATGCCGGGCGACATGGCTTTGCGTGCAACTTTGGGCACATGTGTCATAGGTTCAGTGATGGGATTCAGCCTGTTCGCACTACTTCGGGAGAACCGGTTGTTAACTTTCTGAGAGTTTGGTGAACTGGGTGTTGGAAGAAATCATTAGGGCAGAGAACCGGTTGTTAAATTATTTGAATCCCACCACTGCATAGGTTCGCCATCACGGACCTATCAGGTGCATTAGCTTCCTTTTCCTTCTCCCTCCCCCTTTTTTTTTTTGCAAAAAAATGTTTTAAAAAATTATTCAACTTCTTTCCAGGCAGGATCCCGCTGCATTCCATTAGTTCACCCTTGCGGTCCTTGTCTTTTCCATGCCTAGGTGATGTATGCTTCTCCTTTATTAAAAATGAATGACTCCATTTTCCAGAGTTCTCTCGTCCATCATACTGTCCTCCTGCGGTGTGAGTAATCGTGAAGCTTCTAATTCTTAATTAAAGTGGATTGAGTGCACCGTGGAAATAAATAATAAGGGATAACGGTAGCCTTAAAAAAAAAAAAAAAGTCAGCCTCCCACTGAAAGGTTGGGGCCGAGCACATTGGGACTGAGATTCTCCTCCGGTCAGCAATGCACAGCATTCCAGAAACCAGGATTATGGGCTTTGAAAAGGCTACAGATCAGGAGTGGGCTTCAAAAATTTTAGCAAGGGGTTCTCTGCCCGGTTGCTGGGTGGGCGTGGCCATGGTGGGCATGGCCTAGTCAGACTCCTGCACCACGCCGTGGATGGTGGTGGTGTTTTTGCCCTCCCCAGGCTCCGGAGGCTTTTCTTGAGCCACCAGGAGGGCAAAAATGGCCTTCCCAGGCTCTGGAGGCCCTCTGGAGGCCAGAAACAGGCATGTTTCCGGCCTTCCCAAATCCGGTAAGCCTGTTTTTCACCCTCCCCGAGCCTCTGCACGCGCTCTGCATTTACCTGCATCCAAAACGGACCATGTGGGGACTCCTGGGAGGGGAGGGGTGGGCAGGGCGGGGCCAGCCAGGAGTGGGATTTGGGGGTTCTCCGAACTGCATAGAATCTTAGCTAGAGGTTCTCCCTAACCCCTGCGAATCCCCAGCAGCCCAACCCTGGTCCTTGATTTACAACAGTTCATTTAGTGACCATCCAAAGTTGCAATGACACTGGAAAAAAAATGACATGACCATTTCCCACACCTATGACCTTTTTGGCACCCCCCCAATTATCACATGATCAAAATTCAGATGCTTGGCAACTGACTCATACTTATGACAGTTGCAGTGTCACGTGATCCCCATCTGAGAAGCAAAGCCAATGGCGAAGCCAGATTCCCTTCACAACCATGTTACTAATTTAACAACTGCAGTGATTCACTTAACAAATCCGGCAAGAAAAGTTGTAAAATGGGGCAACGTTCACTTAACAAACGTTTCACTTAGCTCCATTGTGGTCGTAAATCGAGGACTACCTGTATTTGTAACTCAGGGTTGAACTGTGGGGTCCTTGGTGCTCTCTGAGCTTGGTGGTTTTCTTGCAGACGTTTCATGACCCAACTAGTGCTAGTAAGGAAGTAAGGTTTGCTCTCATTTTATCTACAAGTGGCTTGCCCTGGCAGTGTTGGTGGGAGTGTATTTGGTGGTTCTTTGATTGGGCTGTTGTTTATTGTTAACTGATAATGTTGTGGCCCGTCAGTGGCCTGTGCAGATTGTAGCTGATTCCGACAACAAGGAGGCTGGTGTGGTGCTGCACCAGCAGCCTGTGCAGCTGGCGCTCGAGTCGGACAGTGAGGAGGCTGGAGAAGATGTGGTGCCAGAGGCAGGGATTCAGCCAGGGCCTTCAGAACCGCCAGAAGCTCCTTTAAGTGAAGAGGACGAAAAGGAGGAGCCTCTTCTCAATGCACGGGCGCGCAGAGCTGCCAAAAGGCAGGAGTGGCTCCTCAGGAGGAGGTCTCCTCGAGAGTAAGGCTTGGGGCTAATTGGCAACTCTCTTAGCCTATTTAAGGAGGAACGCCGCTTGCAGCAAGCTGTAGGGAACAACTTTAGTTCACTCTCCTTCGCGTCTGGATTCTCTGCAAAATTGTTTCTGGGCTTTCTGCCAACTCTAGTAAGACTGTGATTACCTTATCTTAGAATTCTGGAAGGCTGTTAAGACAGTTTATTAACAGCTTTTGGTTGATAAAGACTAAGTTATTTGAGTAAAATAAGCTTTGTATAGATTTTGTGTGTGCTGCGTTCTTTGGGGTCCGTAGCTGGGGCAGAACAGATAATAGTAATAGTAGCACTGATGATGTTACCTAGTTTGGTAATGAAACATCTGCAAGAAAACCACCAAGCTCAGAAAGCACCAAGGACCTTACAAAGAGGTGGATCCTAGAACAAATCAACTGAGGGTCAACAAGAAGAGGATGACCAGACACAAGGCCAAGGGGTTCAATTACAATAGCCATGGGTGCACCTTTGGAAGATCTGAATGGAGACAGATTGTTTTGGAATAAAAAATAAAGACCCCTCACATCCTGGAGATAAACTGTTTCAACTCCTACCCTCAAAACGACGCTATAGAGCACTGCACACCAGAACAACTAGACACAAGGACAGTTTTTTCCCCAACGCCATCACTCTGCTAAACAACTAATTCCCTCAACACTGTCAAGCTATTTACTAAGTCTGCACTACTATTAATCTTCTCATCGTTCCCACCAACCTTCCTTCCTCCCACTTAGGACTGTATGACTGTAACCTTCTTGCTGGTATCCTTAAGATTTATATTGACTGTTTCCCTATGACTATTATTAAGTATTGTACCATATGATTCTTGACAAATGTATCTTTTCTTTTATGTACACCGGGAGCGTATGCACCAAGACAAATTCCTTGTGTGTCCAATCACACTTGGCCAATAAAGAATTCTATTCTATTCTATTCTATTCTATTCCATTCCATTCCATTCCATTCCATTCCATTCCATTCCATTCTATTCTATTCTATTCTATTCTATTCTATTCCATTCCATTCTATTCTATTCCATTCCATTCCACTCCACTCCACCCCACTCCATTCTATATTCTATTCTATTCTATTCTATTCTATTCTATTCTATTCTATTCTATTCTATTCTATTCTCTGTTCTGTTCCTATTCTATTCTATTCCATTCCATTCCACTCCACTCCACTCTACTCCACCCCACTCCATTCTCTATTCTATTCTATTCTATTCTATTCTATTCTATTCTATTCTATTCTATTCTATTCTATTCTATTCTATTCTATTCTATTCTATTCTTATTCCTATTCCTATTCCCATCCCATCCCATCCCATCCCACTCCACTCCACTCCACTCCACTCCACCCCACTCCATTCTCTATTCTATTCTATTCTATTCTATTCTATTCTATTCTATTCTATTCTATTCTATTCTATTCTATTCTATTCTATTCTTATTCCTATTCCCATCCCATCCCATCCCATCCCATCCCATCCCACTCCACTCCACTCCACTCCACTCCACTCCACTCCACTCCACTCCACTCTATTTTGTTCTGTTCTGTTCTATTCTATTCTATTCTATTCTATTCTATTCTATTCTATTCTATTCTATTCTATTCTATTCTATTCTATTCTATTCTACGTAAGCATCAACGCTAACTTTGTGGCTCATAATTAATTCTTCCTCAGACTTCTATCCTACACAAGATGGTCCTGAGGAAACCTCATTTGTTCTCAGCATCCGTCATACAAGATTCATTTAGCATCTACAGAAAAGGGGTGGGTGTGTAAATGAATTGGGACTTTGACAGCTAATGATAAAAGCTAAGAAAAAAAGCTAAGAATGTGTATCCTGGAATTGTTGCTTCCAAGACTGAGAAAGATTTAGGAGCTGGTTGTGCAGAAAACTAACCACAAACACTTTGGTTATCAGCGAAGAAACCCTCCATTCTCTGGAGGAAGGTTGTTACAAAGAAGATAAGATTCTATTATTATAGACAATCTCAAGAAAAGTACTTTTAACTTTTCTATGGAGCTGATTTCCTGGTCTGGTTTACCTCGTGGGGATAACAAAACCTGATTCGGCCTAAGTTAGCTATAACTATCAATCGGTGCTTCAGGTTTGTGAAGGAGTAATTTGTCTATGATATGATGGAAGGGTTGCTGTCCATGGTACTGAAGCCAAGCCCTCTCATCTGCTACTTGGATTTTGCAC